ACCTCTTCTTTATGGCAACCCCTGAGATATTGGAAGACCGCTATCATGTCTCCCCTAGTCCTCCTTTTCATTAAACTAGACATACCCAGTTCCTGCAACCGTTCATTTGTTTTAGCTCCCAGTCCCCTAATCCTCTTCGTTGCTCTTCTCTGCCCTCTTTCTAGAGTCTCCACATCTTTTTTACATCGTGGAGACCGAAACTGGAGGCCGTATTCCAAGTGTGGCCTTCCCAAGGCCTTATAAAGTGGTATTAACACTTCACGTGATCTTGATTCTGTCCCTCTGTTTATGCAGCCTAGAACTATGTTGGTTTTTTTGGCAGCTGCTGTAGACAGCTGGCTCCTCTTTAAACAATTGTCCACTAGGACTCCAAGATCCCTTCTCACAGTTACTACTATTTGCCTACATGTAGAACCTTACTCTTTTCACCATTGAATTTCATTTTATTAGATAAATCCTTCGGCTTAGTTGTTCCTTATGTATTTTCCCCCTCTCTGCCTTCAGATGAGCAACTCCAGCAACAAGCGCGCCCCCACCACGGCCACACAGCGACTCAAACAGGACTACCTGCGCATCAAAAAAGATCCAGTGCCTTATATCTGTGCCGAGCCTTTGCCATCCAATATCCTTGAGTGGTAAGAATTTGGAAGTGGGAGTGGGGGGCACTGCTGAACCTGAAAAGGCGTCGGGAGAGACTGAACCTCCTTTAAGCAAGAATGGGGGAAGAAAACAGTGGTAGGAAGTTCTGTAGAGCAAGGATGTCAAACTCAAGGCCCGCGGGCCGAATATGGCCCACAATGTGTTGTCATCCAGCCCGCAGGATTGTCCTGGTCCACCCATTGCGAAGAGGAAAGATGAGGCCAGTGCTGCTTTGGCCCAGTGTACCCAAGAGGGTACCCAAGAAATAACATGCCAGCAGCTTGGGGAGTGGTGTCAAGCTGGCCACGCCCATCCAGTTGGCCATGCCCACCCTGAGGTCAACCACAGCCCTGATGCGGCTCTCAATGAAATTGAGTTTGACACGCCTGCTCTAGAGGCTAAAGTTCCCGATCAGGCTCGTTTTTCCCCAAGCCTCACCAACTACTTAGTAGTATTTTTCCCACTATTGGAAGTTGGGATATTATTTCCCTGGGCCTTTTAAAAGACATCTCTTCAATTTCTGGGATAAAACTCCCACGTCCGGGAACAGGGAAATTTGCAGGTGTACTAAGAAGAAACCAAGTAGCGGCAGACACGAGAAAACGGCAGTCAGAAATGATACCGGAATTTAGAAATAAGGCTATGGTATAACACAAAAAAGGGACGGGGTGGCTCAGTGGCTAAGATGCTGAGTTTGTCAATCAGGAGGTCGGCAGTTCAATGGTTCGAATCCCCAGTGCCACATAACAGAGTGAGCTTGTCCCAGCTTCTGCCAACCTAGCAGTTCGAAAGCACGTACAAAAATTCAAGTAGAAAAAATAGGGACCACCTTTGGTGGGAAAGTCACAGTGTTCCGTGNAAATCTGGCTTCCCTATTGACTTTGCTTGCCAAAAAGTGGCTAAAGGTAAAGGTTCCCCTCGTGTGCTAGTCGTTCCTGACTCTAGGGGGCGGTGCTCATCTCCATTTCAAAGCTGAAGAGCCAGCGCTGTCCGAAGACGTCTCCCTGGTCATGTGGCAGGCATGACAGTGCAGAAGGTGCGCAGAACACTGTTCCCTTCCCACCAAAGGTGGTCTCTATTTTTCTACATTTTTGACGTGCTTTCAAACTGCTAGGTTGGCAGAAGCTGGGACAAGTCACGGGAGCTCCCTCCATTATGTGGCGCTAGGGCTTCGAACGGCCAATCTTTCTGATCGACAACCTCAGCGTCTCAGCCACTGAACCATTGCGTCCCTTCTCTGCTAGTCATTGATAAAACAAATCCCATGGCACTGGCTCTTCGGCTTTGAAACAGATTAGCACTGCCCCCTAGAGTCAGGAACGACTATATGCGAGGGGAACCTTTACATTTAGCTAACAGACAGAAGTTAGAAACTTAAAAGCACAAGGAAATGATTAATAACACTGAAGATTTACTAAAATGGATAAGCAAATATTATTATGTGATTATTATTAATTTTATGAATATGATTGTTGTTGTTATTATTACCATCTCTTAAAAACAACCGTACTCGGACAACACACTGTTTATATAGACATTGAATTTTGATGTTTAACATTGTTAACGAAAAACAGAATCTTGTCCTGGTGACACATTTTCTGTATCTCTGCTTTGACGGAGCTTCGGTGTTTCTGCTCCCCCCCCTCCCCCCCCATAGGTTGTGTCTTTCCATTACTGATTTCCACCCCGACACGTGGAACCCAGCTTGGTCCGTCTCCACAATCTTGACAGGCCTCCTTAGTTTTATGGTTGAAAAAGGACCCACTCTGGGCAGTATAGAAACAACAGAATTTACGGTGAGTCCGGCTCTGTGGCTTATTTGTTCGCTGCCGATTTAAAAATCGGCCACGGAGGAATCCAGAGGCAGGGATGGGGACTCTTGATCTCTTTTCCATTCAAATGGAAGACTCCAAGACTGACTTTTTCTCTCTCTCTTCTCTTTCTCGTTCTCTTCTCTCCTCTTCTGGCTCCCTCAGAAGAGGCAACTGGCTTCGCAGAGTTTAGAATTTAACGTAAAAGACAAAGTCTTTTGTGAATTGTTTCCCGATATGGTGGAGGTGAGTGACAGGCTAGTCCTTTTCCTTGGGCGATATTTGCAATTGTTCTTTTTTTTAAAAAAAACAACACAATTACACCCGGTAATTTTTTTCTAAAAAAAAAAATGGAGACATCCACAATCCAGGGCAACCTTTGCTTCACCTAGAACTCTGAGGGCGAACCTGTGCCACGCGTGCTACAGGTGGCACACGGAGCCCTCTCTGTGGGTATGTGAGCCGTTGCCCAGCTCCGCTCCACCGCACATGAGCACATGCCTCCTGCCAACCAGCAGATTTTCGGGCCAGTGCCACACATGTGTGGTGCTGTTTTTGGCCCCAGGAGGCTTCAGGGAGGCCTGCTAGGTCCAAAACGGGGGTGGGGAGTGCATGCATGGGGGGGGCACATGGGGGTGTCACACGGGGATTGAATTATGAGTGGGGCCACGCACGCCACTCATTTCTAGCCATCCCTGACCTAGAAATTCAGCCGTCCTTGGGAAAAGGGTCCCAAGGCTCTTGATTGTATCAACCCCCTAAGCTCACTCCAGCCTCATCTTCGTGTCTCTGGCTTGCTCATGAGCAATAGAGCAGGGGTGTCAAACTCAATTCCATTGAGGGCCACATCAAGGTTCTGTTTGGAGGGGGGCGTGGCAAACTCAATGTTACTTGTTGAGACCCTTTCTTCACTGGCAGAGGGCTGCAGGAGGCAGTCGCGGCCAAAAACGGAGCCCGGGCAGGATGCGCGCGGCCTCCCTGTACAATGTTTTGTGCTGCCGGAGGGCTGCGGGAAGCTGTCGCAGCCAAAAACGGAGCCTCGGAGGGGCTGCACACGGTCCTCCTGCGCGTCATTTTCACTGGAAGAGGCAGCTGCAAGAAGCTGGTCCTTCGCTGTTTCCAAGAGCAGCCCCGTGGGCCAGATCTAAGCACCCTGCAGGCCGGATCTGACCCATGGGCCTTGAGTTTGACACCCTTGTGTTAGAGGATGACCATGGACATCTGAACACCAGACCAGAAAGTTTCTATGAACACATACGCATTGTTCTGACAATCTGGGTATTCATACTATAGCGGGAGGCTCATTGGATCCTTCCATCTGCACAAAAAGAGAGCTAAGGCAGTGACCTTTTTCTCCTCACATGTGCGACAGCGTACGCATGTGTGGCCATACCCATAATTCAATGTGTCCCCCTACGCATGTGCACATGATCCCCCTGTGCATGCATGCGGTCCCCCGCACTCCCCCTGCACATGTGCGGCCCCACTCCGTGCCCCCGTTTGAGCCTAGCAGGCCTCCCTGAAGCCACCTCCTGGGACCAAAAATGGGGCACGGGGGGGTGCACCATACCCCATGCATGCCTGTGCGTCTCCCACATGCATGACAGAAATCCGAAAATTGGTTGACTGGTGGGCGGCGCATGTGCGGTGGAGCTGAGCTGGGCAACAACTCGCATGCCCGCAGAGAACGCTCCATAGGTTCGCCATCAACCAAGTCAAGGTGGCGCAGAGCCAAGGTGGCGCAGTGGTTAAATGCAGCACTGCAGGCTACTGCTAGATCAGCAGGTCAGCGGTTCAAATCTCACTGGCTCAGGGTTGANCCAAAAATTGATTGCCAGGAATGTTTGGAGTTGCCAGGTGAGATTCAGATGCGTCAGAGCCTCGGTGGCGCAGTGGTTAGAGTGCAGTACTGCACCTGCTGACTGCAGGCTGACTGCAGTTTGGCTGTTCAAATCTCACTAGGCTTAAGGTTGACTCAGCCTTCCGTCCTTCCAAGGTGGGTAAAATGAGGACCCAGATTGTTGGGGGCAAGAGGCTGACTCCATAAACCGCTTAGAGAGGGCTGTGAAGCACTGTGAAGCGGTATATAAGTTGAAATGCCCTTCCTTCCTTCCTTCCTTCCTTCCTTCCTTCCTTCCTTCCTTCCTTCCTTCCTAGTGGTTAGAATACAGTATTGCAGGCTAACTTTGCCCACTGCCAGCAGTTCGATCCTGATCAACTGACTCAAAGTTGACTCAGCCTTTCATCCTTCCGAGATGGGTAAAATGAGGACCCAAATTGTTGGGGGCAAGAGATGCTGACTCCGTAAACCGCTTAGAGAGGGCTGTAAAGAACTGTGAAGCAGTATATAAGTCTCTGCTATTGCAAAGGGAGGAAGGAAGGAATGAAGGAGCCACAGTGGCACAGTAGTTAGAATGCAGCATTGTAGGACAACTGCTGCCAACTGCCAGCAGTTCAAATCCCATCAGGCTCAAGGTTGACTCAGTCTTCCGTCCTTCCGAGGTGGGTAAAATGAGGACCCAGATTGTTGGGGGCAAGAGGCTGACTCTGTTAACCACTTAGAGGCTGTAAAGCACTGTGAAGCAGTATATGCCATATTTTTCAGTGTATAAGACGCACCAAAATTTCAAAGAGGTAAGCAAGAAAAAAAAAGTTTTTGCCCTCCCCGGCCCCTGGGAGCACTCTGAAGGCCTCCCAAACCCTCCGCGCGCCCTATTTTTGCGAAAAACAAGCCTGTTTTCTGTGAAAACGGGACGCACATGGCGGGGTGTCCGCAGGCCAAAAATGGCTGTATAAGACGCACGAACATTTCCACCCTCTTTTAGGGGAGGGGAAGTGCGTCTTATACTCCGAAAAGTACGGTAAGTCTTAAGTACTTTTGCTATTGTTGAGAAAATAATACGGGTGAAGGAAGGAAGGAAGTATCTGGAAGCGCTAGCATCGTAGGAGTATAAAGGAGATGGCCAGAGTAACTCATCAGGCAGGACTTGTTTTTAATCTCATCTGCATATTTCAGAGAACTTTCTCGAGTCGCTTGTAACCAAAAGGGCCCCACGCTTAAATCTTCTAGAAGTTTCCTTCTCAAACTCTGTTCGTCAATTTCTTCGGACAACACGCTTTGCTGTGAAATTTAAAAATCGGGTTTTCTTTTCCTGCTATCCCTCTTTTCAGGTGGCTACTACCATGGGAAGTTAATTTTCCCCAGAGAATTCCCTTTTAAACCTCCTAGTATTTATATGATCACACCAAATGGAAGATTTAAATGCAATACAAGGTAAGAGAGTTTGCTTAATTTATTTCCTGGTTTTTTTTTGTTTGTTTGTTTCTTGGCCATTGATTTAAAAGTGTCTCTTTTCACCTCTTGTACTTAATATTGGGAAATATTTCACTAGAGATGACTTGATCTCGTGGTACCACCATGTTTTGAAGCAAATCAAGTATCTTCACTTTGAACGTGATTGCTTCCACCCCGTGCATTCTCAGTTGTTGCCTTGGATATGGGGTAGTCCTCGTCGTACGACCACAATTCATTCCCCCAAATTTCCGTTGTTATGCTAAGGCAGCTGCTAAGTTGAGTTTTGCTCCATTTTATGGCCGTTTTTTTTTGTTGTTCTTAAGCAAATCGCTGCTGTTAATCATACGATCGTTAAGCAAATCTGGCTTCCCTATTGACTTTGCTTGCCAAAAAGTGGCTAAAGGTAAAGGTTCCCCTCGTGTGCTAGTCGTTCCTGACTCTAGGGGGCGGTGCTCATCTCCATTTCAAAGCTGAAGAGCCAGCGCTGTCCGAAGACGTCTCCCTGGTCATGTGGCAGGCATGACAGTGCAGAAGGTGCGCAGAACACTGTTCCCTTCCCACCAAAGGTGGTCTCTATTTTTCTACATTTTTGACGTGCTTTCAAACTGCTAGGTTGGCAGAAGCTGGGACAAGTCACGGGAGCTCCCTCCATTATGTGGCGCTAGGGCTTCGAACGGCCAATCTTTCTGATCGACAACCTCAGCGTCTCAGCCACTGAACCATTGCGTCCCTTCTCTGCTAGTCATTGATAAAACAAATCCCATGGCACTGGCTCTTCGGCTTTGAAACAGATTAGCACTGCCCCCTAGAGTCAGGAACGACTATATGCGAGGGGAACCTTTACATTTAGCTAACAGACAGAAGTTAGAAACTTAAAAGCACAAGGAAATGATTAATAACACTGAAGATTTACTAAAATGGATAAGCAAATATTATTATGTGATTATTATTAATTTTATGAATATGATTGTTGTTGTTATTATTACCATCTCTTAAAAACAACCGTACTCGGACAACACACTGTTTATATAGACATTGAATTTTGATGTTTAACATTGTTAACGAAAAACAGAATCTTGTCCTGGTGACACATTTTCTGTATCTCTGCTTTGACGGAGCTTCGGTGTTTCTGCTCCCCCCCCTCCCCCCCCATAGGTTGTGTCTTTCCATTACTGATTTCCACCCCGACACGTGGAACCCAGCTTGGTCCGTCTCCACAATCTTGACAGGCCTCCTTAGTTTTATGGTTGAAAAAGGACCCACTCTGGGCAGTATAGAAACAACAGAATTTACGGTGAGTCCGGCTCTGTGGCTTATTTGTTCGCTGCCGATTTAAAAATCGGCCACGGAGGAATCCAGAGGCAGGGATGGGGACTCTTGATCTCTTTTCCATTCAAATGGAAGACTCCAAGACTGACTTTTTCTCTCTCTCTTCTCTTTCTCGTTCTCTTCTCTCCTCTTCTGGCTCCCTCAGAAGAGGCAACTGGCTTCGCAGAGTTTAGAATTTAACGTAAAAGACAAAGTCTTTTGTGAATTGTTTCCCGATATGGTGGAGGTGAGTGACAGGCTAGTCCTTTTCCTTGGGCGATATTTGCAATTGTTCTTTTTTTTAAAAAAAACAACACAATTACACCCGGTAATTTTTTTCTAAAAAAAAAAATGGAGACATCCACAATCCAGGGCAACCTTTGCTTCACCTAGAACTCTGAGGGCGAACCTGTGCCACGCGTGCTNCTCTCTCTCTCTCTCTCTCCCGCCCTTCGTGGCTGTCCAGGAAATCAAGCAGAAACAGAAGGCGCGGGACGATCTCCACAGCCGGCCTACGACTCTCCCGCTGCCGGATGTCATCCCCGACGGGGAAGCCCACCACGGTCAGAACGGCCTGCCGATCCTCAACGGGCACCCGCCTTTGGTGGCGGCCAACAACCCCCTCGGCCTCCAGCAAGCTAACCGCCACCACGGACTCCTGGGTGGAGCTTTGGCGAACTTGTTCGTGATCGTGGGCTTTGCGGCCTTCGCCTACACAGTGAAGTACGTCCTGAGGAGCATCGCGCAGGAGTGAGCGACGCTGGAGTTCTTCTCCTCCTCCTTCCAAGTCTGGGTTCTGAGACCAAAATAACAGTAGCGGCGGGAAGGAAACCAAACCAAACATTTGAGACTTTGTGGGTCTCGCACTCCCGACTGTGGGCTAACTGCTGTGATGTGTACAGGAGTTGTTTTCCCCCCCCCCCTTCCCCAGGTTTTGTTTTAATTACTGGTTTTGGCCCATGGAATTAAGTTTTGTCGGAGGGGAGGGAAACCCCCCCCGTTTGGGATGGAAAAGGATGGGGTGGGATGGAGCAAGGAAGAGGACGCACACACATTGTCTCCCGTGAAAAGAAGAAAGGGGAAGGGGGGAAAAAAACCCGCTTTCTGAAACTTGTAGGATCTAAATTTACCGGCCTACGAAATCCCCCCGTGTTTCTTTTTCTTCCTTTTTTTTCCCCCAGTGTACTCTTGAATCCGTTCTAACATCTCGGAGCTTTGGGGAACTTGGGCGGAAGCGTCCCCTCTTTAAGGCAACGTGGGGGCGATAGACGGGTTCGGGAGAGGATGGGGCAGCCCTTGCCCGTTTTAATACTGGCGGATAGCTGAAGAAGGGATGGGGGGGAGGAGCAGAGGAATAAGGGGAGCGCTCTTCGTTTCCTTAAGACGCACTTTTAGATCGCCTCGCTTGACAAGTTTGGTGTCTGCTGCTGAAACAGGTTCCCAAGCCCAGCAGATTGTTTGTGCGAATGGTTAGATCCTCGCGGAAGCCTTTCGTGTCCTAAGTCGGCGGTGCGGGAAGGCGAAGTTCAAAAAGTTCTTTTTCAGAGTCGAGCGTGGAATCGAGCCTAAAGCGTTTGCTCTTTGGAATCGGCGTTGAGCCATCCCACAAAGTTAGGAGTTTTGGTGCTCACAGACAAGAGACCGTTTTCGCAAAAGAGAAAACGTTAACCGCGCGCGCCAGGCCAACCCCAGTGGTCGGCGGCTCTTGTCTGAGTTGACGCGGGGTGTGTTTTAAAGCAGGCCCCTTCTTGGCCCAAACTCCTCACAACAAAAGTACAGGTTTTTTTCTCCTTTTTTTTTAAAATGCTGGCCCAGTGAAAAACTTACCCTAATGCTCTTTGAGAGAGAGAGAACGAGGGAGAGAATGAGAGAGAAAGAAAGGAGAGAGAATGAGGGAGAGAAAGAAAGAGAGAGAGAGAGAAAGAATGAGGAGGGAGAGAGAATGAGAGAGAGAAAGAATGAGAGGGAGAGAGAGAGAGAGAAAGAATGAGGGAGAGGGAAAGGAGAGAATGAGGGAGAGAGAAAGGGAGAGAATGAGGAAGAGAAAGGGAGAGAATGAGGGAGAGGAAGAGACAATGAGAGAGAAAAAAGAATGAGGGAGAGAGAAAGCGAGAGAAAATGAGGGAGAAAGAATGAAGGAGAGAAAGAAGGAGAGAATGAGGAAGACAGAGGGAGAGAAAGAGAGAATGAGGAAGAGAAAGAGAGAATGAGGGAGAGAGACGTGATACTGAATAACCAGCTCTCTTTGGCCTTTTGATGAGCATTTCTTTAAAAAACAAAAAGTTTAAAAGTTTGGTGTTCTATGTTCCTTTTATTCCCCCCCCCCTTCCAAAAGGACCCCTGTTTGATGACTTGGGGAGGGGGGGGTTGCAATCATGTTACGTTTTGTCATTCATCTCCAGGTTTTGCTGCTATAAAGAGAAAGGAAATGACAAAAAGAGTTGACACCGGTAGGATTTGGGGCTGTTGCCTGCATTGGTTTCTCTTGCTCCAGTTGAAGGCATCTCTCTCTCTCTCTCTAAAGCAGGGCTCACTCCAAAGCTAGGATTTAACATGCTTTACATGGGAGAAGTTAAACAGATAATATTCGCGGACGGACACCCTACTGATTTTCAACCAGAATAGCTGGAGCTTTAACATTCCTCATGCTGGGACAGGGAAAGAAGCTCCACAGTTATGCTTCTGGAATTGGTAGGATGGGCCCTGTCCATCCAGCTTACAGCCCGGCTTGGGGTCAAATATATAGGCTATGGGAAGATAGATAGATTTAAAAAAAAACCAGAAGAAAAAGAGAAAATCTAAGCCTAACCCATTAAGCGTGGTTTTATCCACCCCACTCCGTTGGGATTGCCGAGGTCTTGCAAAATACGTCCTTTTAAAGCGCTCAGAGGTATTTTTAAAGATGAGATTTCTGCTTTCCGTGAAGTTTTGAGTTATTGGTTTTATTCCAATTTTTGTCACGCTTTTTTCTTCTTTTCCTGAAACAAATTGGAAAAGTGTAACTTTTACGGAATGATTATCGGGAGTATTGACCGGGGAAACGCCACCGAAAAAAGGATGAATTAAATCCATAAGGTGTTCTAACTTGGGCGACAAGTGAATTCATCTGCTTTTGACCAATTCTTCTGCCAGTAGGTGTGGTTTAATTGTCATTCCCCCCCCCCCGGTAGCTCTGTCCGCGAAACAAGACATTTGTTAAAATAAACCTTATCGTCGGCGTATGAATGGGAGAGAGGGAGAGATGACTCCAAGGGAAAACCATTTTAAGAAAGCCTTCTCAATGTGCCAGGTTGCTGATGTGGGACTACATGGCCCATTGTCCCCGGGCAACCCGGGATCCAGGACAAACTGGGGAAGGGTACTCGGTGGGGGAGGCGGATTTAAAATATGTATTTCCATTTTTAGAAATGCTTCAGGGACTGTGTGATGGTGTCCCATCTGCCCTGTCTTTTGATGAAACTTTGTGATCATCTTCCTCCTCCTCTTCCTCTTCAAAAGCTTGGCCTTCTGTTCACATTTTGCAGCCTGCGGTTGTCACGAGATCTTAAATGTACATATTCATGCAAAGGCATTTCTTTCTACTTGAAAAAACAAACAAACAAGCATACATTGCGTTCTTTAGTACCTTTAAAAAAAGGGGTAGAGAAAAGAGGCCTGTTCAGTTCATCAATGGAGCTAAGCTTGGGGTTTGTTTAACCATAGTTTGTTGAATAAATCACTGTCTTGAGTTCACACTTTGTGCTCGATTGCGTGGGGTGGCTCGACTTCCATATTAAGGCACTAGCTTAAATCGGCTTAATGAATTAATTGCTGTCCAAAAGTGAACTTTTTAGAGAGATGTGGCTCAGTGGCTAAGATGCTGAACTTGTCGATCAGAATGTTCGGCGGTTCGAATCCCTAGCGCCGCGTAACGGAGGGAGCTCCCTTTACTTGTCCCAGCTTCTGCCAACCTAGCAGTTCGAAAGCACGTAAAAAATGGAAGTAGAAAAATAGGAACCACCTTTGGTGGGAAGAGAACAGCGTTCCGTGCGTCTTCGGGAGTTGAGTCATGCCGGCCACCTGACCACGGAGACGTCTTTGGACAGCGCTGGCTCTTCGGCTTTGAAGCGGAGATGAGCACCGCCCACCAGAGTTGGGAACGACTAGCACAGATGTGCGAGGGGAACCTCTACCTTTTGATAGCCCCTTCAAAAGAGCAGAATTTTTCAGGGAATGTGTGTTTGTGTGTGTGAAGGGGAAGAGAATGTATGGGTTCTAAACCAGGTGGAAAACCTTATTATTTTTAATCCAACAATATTTGGTTGGTCAATTGCAGAAGAATCCTCTAGTTGTAGGAGTGTCCAACCTTGGCAAAATTTTAATACCTGCCTGACTTCAACTCCCAGAATTCCCTAGCCAGCCATGCTTCCCTATGCTGGCTGGGGAATTCTGGGAGTTGAAGTCAGGCAGATCTTAAAATCGGACATACCTCTGCTCTAAATTGGAGATACCTGCTCTCTAGTGTGTTACGATCTCAGCCAGCAGTCAGAGAACCAGTTGGGCCTATTGGGGGTAGAATAAATATTTATTTAGGCAATTTTCAATTTCAATTCAATTTCAATTTAATAAAATTTGTATGCCGCCCACTCCCTTGGGACTCCGGGCGGCTTACAGGCAAAATAAAAGAAGCCTTTAAAAATTTAAGATAAAAGATACAATTATTAAAATTCCACACCATCCATTCTGTCTTAAGTGGGGCTGGATATTGATCAACAGCCCCAGGCCTGCCGGAACAGCCAGGTCTTGGTGGCTTTACGGAAGGCCGGGAGAGTGGTAAGGATCCGTATCTCTACGGGTAGTTCGTTCCACAGGGCCGGCACAGCTACAGAGAAGGCCCTCCCCCAGGGGGCCGCCAGCCGGCATTGTCCAGTCGACGGCACCCGAAGGAGGCCCAACCTGTGCGATCTTGTTGGTCGTTGGGAGGTAAGTGGCAGGAGGCCAGGTCCTAAACCATGTAGGGCTTTAAAAGGCAACAACAGGGATTGTAGAGGGGGAATTGGGACCGAACAGAACTTCTGACTCTTTACAAGATGTTGCAAGCCAAATAAGTGGGATTCATTTAAGTGGGATGGGTATTATTTTGCAGGGACATGATAGATATAGATACGGAAAGTTGATGTCCAGAAGCTTCCAAGTATTGGATTCTGGGGACAAGTAATAGCAGAGGTCCACTAGTTTGGGGCAGATTTGAATATGGTTGAAGCAACTCAGTGCTTGGAAGAAGAATCTGTGTAGACTCTTAGAAGTCTAGTGTACCACACTAGGAAGTTGAAACAGGCGCCAGGAGAAGGCAGGGGCAACTCACGCTCTTATTGTTGCCAAGAAGTAGTCCTCACGTAGTGACTTCTTGCTCAGCAACCATTCGAAGTTGCAACAGGGCTCAACAAGATGGCCGGTCCTTGAAGTTGTGGCTGTCGCAATTGTCCCTACGGTCACAGGATGTTGATTGCGGTGCTTGGCAACTGGCCCGCCTTCACAATGGTCACCGCTTCCCATAGTCACATCCCTCACCCCTTGCGGTCTTCACGGCCAGCTTCCAATCAATCAAGTCAAGGAGGAAATGCAGGCGCCCCCTGATGTTGCGCTGAAGGACTGCATGATTCCTTAACGACCGCAAGCTGTCGTCGTACACCGAAGATCGCATTTAATTTTGTTGCACAAGGGTGCCATGACAATAAAGAAAACTAAACTAAGAAGTTACATGGGAGGAAGGACCATTTTTCACGAAGGACCTCTGACTCGGAAGGTCTTTTCAAACGGAGCTATTTATTCATTTATTTATTTGTTTGTTAAATTTCTAGGCCGCCCAATCCCGGAGGACTCTGTGTGGGCCACCTACTCATTGATGTAACAACAGATGCTTCTGCTTTAGATTTTTTTTTATTAAAAAAAGAGCTTAGATTCTTAGGCCTGGTTGCAACTTGATTGAAATAAGAGTGGGGGGAGAAAAAGATGAACAAATGACCTCGAGATATAGAGAAGCCAGTGACTTCTTTCCAATGGTGAAATCTTTTTTTTTTTTTGCCACCGGTTCTATGGGCGTGGCTTGATGTGTGTGGAGGGTGTCATGTGACCGGGTGGGTGTGGCCCAAAGCATTTTTTTCCTACCGATTCCGGCGAATAGGCAGGGGAAAAAAATGCTTTAAAAAGTGAAGGGAAAAAAAAGCTTCCGACAATCGCTCAGCACCTACTGGCTCGCCGAACCAAGGACAATCGTCCCGACCAGTTCTGCCGAACCGGCAGGATTTCACCTTTGCTTCTTTCCCTACATGTGCCACCCTTCACCTGGCTAATACACATTGGATACAGGTAATTTCTTCGGTAATGTCATCGTTTAACCAGCAGGTGTCGCTACGTCACCAACGTTCAGACAAATAGCAGATAAGCCATGTTTTCGTCTTAAGTTGTTTTATTGGGGATGAATTGAGTCATATCTTGGTCACACATCCTCTCTAGTTTCTGGCCTGTAAAATAAGGGGGGGGGGACCCACCTAGAGGAACCCTAATCCCGCAGGCCCAGAATTTGAAAGCTGCCACCCAAAAAAAAAAGGACAAATGCGAGGGAAAACCAGTCTTTAAAAATCACGTTTTCAGGAAAAGTGAAAACTTTTCAGGAAAAATTCCATTGGTGACCAAGTGAATGCAACCTGGGGAATTTCCTGGTGGTCTATCCAATTGCTAACCAGATGCTTGCTCTATTTCTGGCCCCGGGATTAAGACATCAGTTTACAGAAATAATTCTGAGAGAAGACAGGCGAGGACATCTTTGACTAGAGTGGTATGCCCGAAAATAAGACGGGGTCTTATTTTCTTTTGACTCCCGAAATAAGCGCTTGGCCTTATTATTTTTGAGGTGCGGCGAATGTGGTCACC